GATGCACTTATAGGTAAAAGTAGATGCACCCGATCAATGAATACAGACAAAAACTACATGCACTTGCAGGTGCACTTATAGGTGAAAGTAGGTACACCCGAACAATGAATGCTGACACGTGGCGTGCATTTCTCTCATGGGCACTTATTCGCACCTGAACGCGACCCTATATATATTGGTTCCTGTGAGGTCAGGTATTCCCGTGCGGTCAATGCGGCATACACCATTAGGTATGCATAAATGCACCATACATAATGAAATGCCAAAAAATACACCACAAAAAAAAAAAAAAATACACCAAAAAAAAAATACACCACACATAATGGTGGTGTATTTATGAACACTGTGTGGTGCATTTATGCATACCTAATGGTGTATGCCGCACTGACCGCACGGGAAGACCTAACCTCACAGGAACCTGACCCTATATATATATATATATATATATATATATATATATATTAAATACATTATGATATCAAAGTTGTATATGCAATATGTTGGTCAAATATACTCATACGTTATAATTTTCGTTATCTTTTTTCAATATTGTTACAATGCACATGCATCCACCATATATTTTCTTATCTTCTTCGACAATAATATAATATATGCACATTATATATTGAAGTTATATGCTAATTATTTCATAAATATAAAAATTAAATTTCTTAAAATGTTTTACATTATTATTATTATTATTATTATTATTATTATTATTATATCTAAAATCTAAATAAATCTAAAATTTTAATATAAAATATTAATATTGGACACTTAATTTTGCAAATCGCGAATATAAAATACTAGTATATATATAAGTGCGGGGATATCTTCCCAAGCACTCGTCCCCATACCCGCGCGGGTATACAAAATTCGCCCCATCCCCACACCCATTATCCAAATCATCCGGATATTTTAAAACCTATTGGTGCGGGAATGCAGGGAACCAATAAAGTGCGGGTAGAATTATCATTTCTAATTTGTGTTTAGCAGCTTAAATTGATTCGGAATTGTCATCCTTCTTTCAATTTCACTAAGGTTGAGTTTGGTTGAAAACTTGTATATATGATTTGATTCCATTATCACGTTTGCATACATATTTTTACTATCTTACAATTCTTACTATTTAATTCAAATCTTTTATCATATTCATAAGATTCATTACCTTTCTCTTCCATTACTTTTGAACAATAAACTAAAAGATGAGAAAGAAAGAAAAAACGTTATTGCTCATACATTCAATATGTATTACATATTTTTATTTATTTATTTATTTATTTTAATTTTAATTCATATTTATTTCCAAACAAATAGAATTTTTCTACTTAAACCTATTACATTTACCAACTAGTCTTTGATTTCAAGGGTGGAGGGACTAGGGATTATGGAAGTGTTGAAAATGGGCACATGGGTGAATGTGAGAAATGGCAAATATGTTGAATTTTGGACCACCAACAAGTCCTTTTAGGAGGTATGCTTTGTTAAAGTTGTCAGAGTGTCCTAACTTAATCTATGACGAGCCATGATAAAAGTCGTTAAGAATTTAAGATTTATGAGTTGATTATTTTTAAAACAAATTTGTATTTATTTTTAAAACATATTTGTATTTGTTGGCAAATTATACTATGGACTAGGTTCATATTGCATTGTAGATATTGATCAAAAACAACATTTGAATTATGTAATTGCATTATGTATTTACAGTTAACAAATTATTTATCTAGCTAGTTTGACCAGCAATTAGTATTAGTTGGTTATAAAAATATGTTTGATAAATTAATTAATTATTTGTAGCTGATTACGTATAAAATAATATATAAGAACATAAGTATCTTGTGATATATACTTAATTCTTAAATTCTTTTATAATTTATTGTTATTGTTTATCGTATTCAGATTTGGAGACGAAAAATTATCATTTTTCAAACCTTCTTCATTTTCAGATTAAAGACAAAAAAGGATGATAGAAGAATAAGACAATCATGACTATCACCGGTCGCTACGTTCAACATTTAAAAATAAATTGTTTTCATTTCTTTCTCTTTATATATAGAGATAAAGGAGGGAAGAAGAAGAAGGCAACTATGACCGTCGACCATAACTGCCGTTAACTCTATATATATAATACAATTCTTTCCCTTCTTTCTCTCCATATTTGGAGAGAAAGAAGGATGCAGACATGTCCGTCATCTTTGATTTTATTTTATTTTAATATTTTTTTAAATGTTACTGACTCTATTACATTATAATGGCACTGTTTGGTAAAAAATTTGCCTATAGGCCAATTTTGGCTTATTTGACCACTATTAATTGTTTGATTTAGTTAAAATATCAATATAAATGTTTGGTTAATTAGTTTTTTGCAACTTCAAAAGGCTAAAATTAAAAAAGCTACTCCTAACAACTTTTTTAATTAGCTTTTTGAGAAAAGAAATTATACCAAACAGTTATCAGCAAACAGCTAATTTACCAAACATTTTTCTACAATCAGCTAATGTTATTAACTATTTATACTATCTAATTAACACAATCAGCTAACAGTAAACAGTTATCAGCTAACAGCCATTTTACCAAATAGGGCCAATATCTGTTCAAACATACTTTCTCAACTTAATATTAGAAGAATGACATGTCAATTATTACGTAAAAGGTTGCCATGTTTGTTTGAGCTTGAATGTACAAAAATTAGATATAATTGTAATTTTTAAAAATTTAAGATTTTATTTAATTTTAGAATAAAGTTTAAGGGATCCATTATCGATTTGACCATTTTTTCTAAAATTAACAAAAAAATATTAATTTTTTTTGTTCAAAACAAAAAATTAATTGATACGGTAACTCCTAAAATTAACAGCAATTCTTTGTAGAGTTTTGAGTGAAACAAACAAAATTTTAAAAACTAAAGAAATTGCCGCTACCAGCCTACCCTTCGCATATCGCAAATCTCTACTCACCCAGCACTCCAATCGACGCTGCGACGTCGGAGGTCCATCGCCGCTCAGTCAACCGTCGTCCAGTTCGTCGCCCATCTGCTCCCGTCGGCCATCGGTGTCGAAGTCTCATCGTCTGCGTCGTCGCAGTAAGCATCGCTGCTCAAGTTTTCTGTTTCTACTTTTTAAATTTCTTAAACCCTAAACCCTAAAAATTTTCCCAATTTCCCTTCGCATTCTTGGACTGGCAGGAAGCTTTGTGCTTGTTCAATCCTTGTATAAATTATTTATTATTAATATTGTATCAATATTCATTATTAATTTTGTTTTTAATACATGAAGTTATCCCATTTGGTTGGTTCCCCCCCTCCCCTCCCATGTTTTTCCCTCTGCACATCTCCAAAATATTCATCAGAAGTTACCTTGCTTCTTGTTGATAATTTGAACTTCTACATCGATTGTGGTTGTTTGACATGAAGCTAGGTTTTATCTTTGAAAGATTTGCTTCAAATGAAATTTTATGGCTTGGAATATTTTCCTAGTCCTAGAAGGAATAACCGAATAACTGCCGTTGATGGTTTAATTGTAATAGAAAATTAATATCATGGTTCCTTGTTCCTATAATAATGCTGTGAGCCTGTGACATAATAATACTGCATATTGGAGAGTCTATTTAACCATTATCACAAAAGACATGTAGTGCCATTGAACGGCTTAATTTTTATTAGGCGGGATTTTGACATAAACAGAAACTTAGTGCTTTATTATAATGATAGATAGATTATATTATAATAAAATCAATACTATAAAAAAAAAAAAAGGAGTAAATTTCCATATTCGCTTTCTTCTGATTAGGGCGTGTTGCTGTAGAGAAAGCACACAAATTTCAAATTACAGCAACTCATCCCCACGTCTTGTCGAATTGTTCAGATTTGGATTTCCGTTTGAAGCTGCTGCTGCCGGAGGCTGGTGGTTGTCGTACCTCACATACTGTTCCTTACCCGATTTTGTAAGTTGTCTTCTGATTTCACTTCAGTTTGGGATTTATTGAGCTTCAATTTTGTTTTTGTTTGTTTAATGTCATATATCTTTGTGAAGTGGGAAAGTGTTGGTGTTTCTTCATTTTGAGATCATTAAATTTGTTCCATTTCGTGAAAATTTCCCATACATGAGCTTCTTTAATCTTTATACATTTATCAGTGGAAACGCAAGACTCATTGGTTGGCTAGTGTAATAAGAAAACTTAGGATAATACTCTGAAACTTGAATGTGCTATATCATCAATCATCCTGTATCCCATCAATCTAGGATTATATTAGGCACAGAGTTTGTGGACTAACAACTTCTAGTTATTCAGTCGAACTAGACCACTTAATAAGCCTCGTCACCACTTAATTAAGGCCCTAATATATAATATACAATATATATTATTAGGGAAAATCTTACATTGATTTGCTGATTCTAGTGTTATTTCTCATGTTATAGTATGAAATCCTCAATTGAGGATAAAGCTCCCATAATGTTAAGATTTAAAGAACCTGTTTATTCTGCATTCATGTAGGTAATCATCCAATGATTCCAAATGCAAAAATTAGTTAAATAGCACAATCAGAAAGTTGCTGCACAATATCTCGTAACAAGTAATCGATCTCCATAGTTAGTATGCTTACCCTGAACTTATGCATCTCCCACATGAATAGTGTTTTTCCTGTCTGTGATAACTGATACGCACACTACATTGTCTTGGTTAGCTATAATTAAGCACACGCAAAGAACAAATATAAATCTAATTATTCATCATGTATGAAGTTATTGGTCCAGGTAGTCAACAATATTTCAATTCTCTTAGGAACTGCCAACAATTAACCCTCCCAAAAGACAAAACAGAAGACATGCTTGAGTGAATTATATCATCTTTATAGTTTCAATCTGCGAGCCTCAGTTTAATGTTTGAGTTTTGATTCATTTTTTTAGACTTGTCTGTTCTGTATTCACCTCATATATGTTAATCTGTTTATCTGTTATATATTGTTACTCCATATTATTTAAGTATTGTATCAATAACTTTTCCTTTTCATTCCTACATGACACACACATCTGCAGATCTGTTCGGTTTGAAAATCCAGATTTTTGAAATTATATGTAAGGTTTTCCTTTTTCAAGGTATGCCATATCCCTATGCCATGCATGACCATTAATTGACTGGATTTCATAGTAACAAGATTTTGAAAATAGTGTCAGATACTTTTTGCTTGACAGTTTCTACAAAATTTTGAGAAGATATATTATGATTTGTGTATCTTATAAGAGTTTGGGTGAAACAAAAATATTTCAATTGAAAGTGTTTGTATATATACACTTAAAGAGCATATAGATGCTTGAAAAAAGTTGAAATAGCAACCCATCATTTAGAACATGGAAGGAAATGTAGGTTCGACAGATGACAAAATTGAGCATGAAATTGCCGAGTTAGATATATTCGATTTGGGTATATATCAATATCACTTATTTACTTATTTATTTAAAAGTTAATAATTTCTTATAGACTTATAGTTCATTGTCTAATTATTTTAAAAAGTTTACATTGATTTGTTTTTAGGTTTATCAAAGACTAATTTGGAACCTATGATTGATTAGTCGAAGTGTAAAGTTCATCATCAAGGGTAAGAGGATTTGGGTAAATATACGTTAATTTTCTTATTTTAGTCATTTAGTTATCTTTTCAAAATATTATTTTTTAAAATAATATTTCACTTAATTTATTTTAGTTGTATTGTAATATTATTAGGTATTATTTATACATTTATTTATAGGTTTAACATTTGGCAGGACCACAGGAGTGCACGACAACATAAGAGTTGAATATCTTTGAATCCATTTTTGTTGACCTGTTGAAGTTTGTTCATGGTTCTGCTTGTGTTCCATCGTCTTCATTTGCAGCTCAGAGTTTTTTCCACTACACTCCTCGATGGCATCTTCCTTGCCAAACCCAAGCTCACATATTTTCACACTCAAACTGATCTTTACTCAAACCCCATTACTTTTTCCTCGTCCTCTTCAGAGCACAACTCTGTCATCCAAAGAGTCTGCTCTCTGGTTTATGAATCTTATAGCAATCAAGAAAATACCCATTTCAAATCCATGTTGCCAAAACTAGAACTGCCTTTGGATAGCGAACTCTTGACTCCAGAACAGTGTATCACTGTTGTGGCTTCTTTGGCTGATGAGGCGGGCTCAATTGCTGCCTTGAGTTTCTTTCATTGGGCAATTAGATACCCAAAATTTAGGCACTTTATGCGGCTTTACATAGTTTCATCGATGTGTTTGATGAGAAATGGGAATTTTGATAGAACCCATGAAGTCATACATTGCATGGTCAAGAATTTTGGTGAGATTGGGATGTTGAAGGAGGCTGTACATATGGTTTTTGAGATGCGGAACCAAGGATTGGTTTTTAGTGCGAGGACTTTGAACTGCATTGTAAGTGTAGCTGCTGAAATGGGGTGTATAGAGATTGCTGAGAATGTGTTTGACGAAATGTGTGAAAGAGGTCTTTATCCAGATTCTTTTTGTTTTGAGTCAATGGTTGTTGCTTACTGTAAATTGGGGAGAGCTGTGGATGCAGATAGATGGATGAGTGCAATGCTGGAAAAGGGTTTTATTGTGGACAATGCGACTTGTACATTAATTATGAGTGTGCTTTGCCAAAAGGGGTTTGTGAACAGAGCATTTTGGATTTTTAATAGGTTAATTGAACTAGGCTTGACTCCAAACTTGATAAATTTTACTTGTTTGATAAATGGGTTGTCTAAGCGTGGCAGTGTTAAACAAGCGTTTGAACTGTTAGAGGAAATGGTTGGGAAGGGTTGGAAACCCAATGTGTTTACCCATACAGCACTAATTGATGGTCTTTGTAAGAAGGGTTGGACTGAAAAGGCATTTAGGCTTTTCTTGAAACTTGTGAGGAGCGATAGTTACAAGCCAAACGTGCATACATATACAGTGATGATCACTGGATATTGCAAGGAGGAAAAATTGAACCGTGCAGAGATGCTTCTGAGTAGAATGCAGGAACAAGGGTTGGTCCCTAATGCTCAAACCTATACTTCTCTCGTTGATGGGTACTGCAAAGTTGGTAATTTCACTCGTGCTTATGAGTTGATGGAAGTAATGAAGAAAGATGATTTGTTGCTTACCATTAGTACATATAATTCAGTAATTGATGGACTCTGTAAAAAGGGAGAGGCTCGAGAAGCATATAAATTATTAAAGAAAGGACTGGAAACTGGGCTATCTGCAGATTTAGTTACATATACCATTCTCATATCAGACTGTTGTAAACACGCTGACAGTAGGCTAGCTTTTGCACTTTGGTGTAAGATGGTAAAGTTTGGTATCAACCCTGACATTCATACATACACCACGCTAATTGCGGCACAATGCAGGGAAAAGAGGATGAAAGAAAGTGAAAAGCTTTTTGATGATGCAATTAAATTAGGTTTGGTTCCGACAAAGGAAACTTTCACGTCCATGATATCTGGATACTGTAGAGACAAAAATATCAGTTCTGCTATGAAGTTCTTCCAGAGCATGGGAGAATATGGCTGTGCACCTGATTGCGTTACTTATGGTGCTCTGGTTAGTGGTCTTTGCAAGGAGTCTATGTTGGATGAGGCTAGAAAACATTATGACACAATGATGGATAAAGGAATTTCCCCATGTGAAGTCACACGGTTAACAATAGCTTATGAGTTTTGCAAGAAGGAAGAGCCTTCCACTGCAATCGTCCTCTTAGATCGATTAGACAAAAGGTTATGGACTCGTACAGTTGATACATTGATTAGAAAGCTTTGCAGTGAAAAGAAGGTTGACATGGCAGCGTTGTTTTTCCATAAATTGTTAGATAAATGCCAAATTGTGGATAAAATAACTCTTACAGCGTTTATGACTGCATGTTATGATAGCCAAAACTATGCCCTTGTTTCCAATGTAAACAAAAGGATTACGAAAGATAATCTTTGCTCTTCTGTTATGCATTCCCACTCAGATTGACACATTCCATGGAAATAATTCTTTCTCCTCTGGGAAGAAATGAAATTGGCAGGCCAGAGAAACAAGGAATTCAATTATAGGGGTCTGGTCCCTTTCCTAAGCTTATAGGACGACATATGATTAACAGTTTGGTAGGATTTTTTTTTTTATTTGTTTGTACATAATCACCATCAAATCATTTATTTTCTACCATTGTGAAGATTTTATGCTTTGCAGGGTTCTCTCAGATGTTGGAGGTTTAAATGACAATTATTCTCAACAGTTAGTTCTATAATCATTGGAATCCAATGAGCGAGGCCGCAGGGAAAGAGAAGGGACACTGAGGCTTTGCACTCAATTCAAGATTTCAAGTGACACCATCAACCTTGATGCACCGGCCTCATGAACACTAGGTCATTTGGTATGCTAAGGAAAATAGCACCTTTATTACAGTGTACTTGCTTGATAAAACACATGGAGTACTGTACCTTGCAGCATCTTGTCTGGTAAGCAAGCATGCTGTACCTGAAATCTGGAAGCACCTCATCTATCATTGCTCTCTCTCACATGGTATGGAAGACCATGGACATGTGGGGCCAGTCAACCTCTTATCTTAGCACATATTTTTTTGTAGTTTTGAGAACTGAAACTGTTGATGACTGGCTGAAAAATAGTTAAATACATGCTTCTTTGATTTTTCTTTTGGCTGTGCGTCATTGCTGAGATAGCTTGGTGCCATTGTTGATGTCAATGGACTCAAGGCAATGAGTACAATCGGGATTTACACAACTTTTTTTGTGTAATTACTCTATTTTGATGTATATGTACTGAATTGGAATGCCCATGCATGCCCTTTCTTGGTATTGTTGCTCTAGAGCTTTTGGTTGCCCCTAGGGCCTAGGCTTTGTACCAGATTTCCCATATTTTAATGAAGTTGACTTCAGCTTAAAACAAACAAGTCTTTGTCCTTCATTAAGTTTTTCATTTTTTATATCACATAGATCTAGTACAGGGTGTCAAGGATTGCATTATAGATCTAATACTTGACTTTTCCCAGTTTCAGTACACAAACAAACCTCAAGCAATCACAGAGCCAGCCAGAGCTTTGATGCATGGCAAGTGCAGAGCAGAAGATGGATGAGTTAGCTAATAAAGTAGAAACCAGTGTTCATCTCCAAGAATTCCCAGATCTCCCACAAGAAATCATCCTTGATATTCTCCTGAGGTTGCCGGTCAAGTCACTCCTACGATTCAGGTGCGTTTCCAAATGCTGGCTTTCTTTGATCTCCAGTCCTCAATTCATCAAAACCCATCTCAAGTTTTCAAAGAAATTTGGGCCCAAACGGCTTGCTCTCATGGCCACCCGGTTTGGTCAACCTGAGATCTGTTCTTCTTACTCCATAGTTTGTGAAAATTCCTGTATTGTCAGAGTAGTTGAGCTCGACCGCTTTCAGAAAACTGCCGATATACCTTCGCTCTGCATTCTGGGTTCCTGCAATGGATTGCTGTGTCTGTTGACCTCCTCGTATAAACTCTCGATCTGGAACCCATCCACGAGACAAACAAGCATAATAGACGACCCGGGTTATGAAATTAAGGATGTTGGGTATGTAACATATGGATTTGGGTACGATGAGTCCCACGACGATTATAAACTGGTGAAGATATTGGGTTCCTCGCCTCCTATTAATGATCCCAACCGCATGTTTGAAAACACCATTATGGTTTACAGCAGAAACGCCAAGTCTTGGAGAGTGATTCCGGGTTTTTACTACAGTGAAAACTTTCCCCATGGTAATGGAGTTTTTCTCAACGGAGTTGTTCACTTGGGAGGCAGTAGTCTCAGGTTGGGTTTTTGTTCGGAGATTTATGCGTTTGATTTGGCGACAGAGACGCTTCGGACCATAACACTACCAGACAGCTACGAAGGCCAAAGACCCTTTTGGAGATTAGGCGTCTTGGGTGGAAATATTCTGGTGGCCTGTTGCCAGTGCTCTCCCGAGACGTTGCATATATGGGCGTTGAAGAACTATGGCATGGCGGAGGAATGTTGGGGGAAATTGGTGTCGTTTTCATTGGATTACGATATCAGCATTTCGCCTGTGTTTGTGACCCAGAATGTGGATGAGGTTTTGCTGCAGTATGATCTGGACAAACTGCTTTTGTATAGGTTGAGAGATGATTCTTCGCTGTTGATTCGAATGTTTCCTCCAAATAACCATCTTTTGGTTCAAATGGCTACCTACAATGAAAGCCTAGTTTCATATTCCTGATTCTGCTGTTCATATGTACAGTGAATCCATTTGTACAAGGATAAGTATACTTTGTTATACCATGGACGAGGGTTCACATTGCACTATGGATCCTGGTTCATGTGTTTGTGTTTTGCGTTATAAAATTCTGTACTTTATGTATGAATTTTGTACTTGGAACAAATTAATAATTATGTTTTATGTTATCACTTTATGTGTTTGTGTTGTGAGGTTTTATGCCTATGAACACAAATTGTGTATTTAAATCATATTTGAAAAATAAGTAAATATATAACATGTGTTGTCTTGTATTATAATTTTATGTCTTGTGTTATGAAATTTTGTACCTTATGAGTATGAATTATGTACTCGTCTTTTTAACCTTGCTGGTCCATAATGCTATGCTATGTGTCTTGTGTTGTGATTTTTTGTATTTTGTGTTATGAAATTTTGTATCTTACAAATATGAATTCTATACTACATTGTTTTAATCCATAGTGCATGATATAAATTGTCGATAAGTATATTTGGTTAAGGAATACTACACATCCTTTTAGTTTATATTCCATTTTTTACTCTTTGCTTGTACAGTTTGTTTTAGTTCCTATAAGAACTAGTGTGGAGCACACAATTATTATTATTTTTAATCTTTTATTAATAGAATCATGACACACATGTTAATAGTAGAGTTTTACTCTATAGAGGTCCCCATGTATCATTTTCCTTTTTCGTTTGTGTGTCTTAATTAATTAATTAATTTATTTATTTATTTATTATTTTTTTTTTTTTGTTTTTTAAGGAGCTATTAAGGAGATACTCCCATCATGGTTTACTTGAAGGTAAGGATAAGTTCAAACTTTTTACTAAGGTCTGAATCATTCCACAAAGCAATTAATAGATGCAATAGCAGGTGGCACACTAAATAGCAAAACCCCAACTTAGGTTTAGGTACTAATTGAAGAGATGACTTTCAATTACCAATGGGATTGAAGAGATGACTCTCAATTACCAATGGGGTCCTCATGTAAGGTTGAGATTATCTCAACAAAGATAACATTGGCAAGATGATGTGAAAATTCAAAAAAATATTGTTTATTTTGGTGGGTTGTCTATGTGTGGCTAGCAAATTTGCTACATAAAGAACTTAGAAGAGTTGCCTATATTTACTTTGACTGAAGATTTTTATGCAATTTTACTCAACAAGATCCCAAAGGAATTAAAGGAACTAAGAAATTTTACTTTACCCCGTCTTAAAGGTTATTTGTATGTAGAGAAGATTTTGGCTGATTTGCTAGTATTAATTTAATGCCTTACATTCTATTTTAAAAATTAGGGTTGTGGGAGTCTAAACCAACTTGTATGAGTACTCAATTGATTGATAGGTCTATTAAGCTAAGTATCCTAGAGGCATTATTGAGGATGTGTTGGTCAAAATAGATAAGTTTATTTTATCTATACAAAGTACCTTGTGCTCAGATGACACCTATGTGACTCTCATTGAAGGAAGGTCACAGGATCAAACCCCGGTGGTGGGGTATTGACTCTTTAGGCTGCAACAGATTGAGAAAGTATAGAACACTTAATGATAAGTGCTCAAATGCACTTATTTATGTTAGGAACAAGTGTTATGTTTGAAAGTTAGTTCTCCAATTCTTTTTATTTTCTAGACTTAGGAATATTCACAATGTAAATCTGAAAGCTTCACTTAGAGCCTTAGAGGATGAACTTTACTAACCGAAAAGTTAAAAATCGGAAGGTAAACTAAGTTTGAAAAGTAACTTTGTTAGAAACAAGTGTTATGTTTGAAAGTTAGTTCTCCAATTCTTTTTATTTTCTAGACTTAGGAATATTCACAATGTAAATCTGGAAGTTTCACTTTGATGATGAACTTTACTAACCGGAAAGTTAAAAACCAGAAGGTAAACTAAATGACCTTTTGGAAGTTACTGTGCTATAACCTTCTGAGGCTAAACTATCCTAAGGTTACTTTTCAAAAATAGAAACAATATATGGCGGGAAATTTGAGCAAAAGCAACCTGTGCAATACACATTGGTCATTATACAATTGGTAATAGACATTTGAATTTGTTCCATCCAACATACATATTCAAATAGGTCTATAAATATCCCCATTCGAAGCTGAATGATGTGCTAGTTAACTGAAAGTTGTTAAGAGAGAAAAACATACGAGAATACAAATCCACGACTAGTGAGAGAGAAATCTCAAGAGCTAAAACTTCATGTTGGAGAATCAACAACTCTTGTGTGATCAACCAACACTCTATACTTTGAGAAGTAGAAAGGGGCGGAGTAACAAGTGGTGTATACCTGTGAATTGAAAAACTTAAAGACTTGAGGCTGTCTTTGTGATCAAGGCTCAAGTTCTTTTCATTGTACTAAAGTGATAATAGTGCAATCTTCCTAGGAGTTATAAGAGAAGAGTCGAGTAGGCTAGTTTTGCTGGGCCACGATCCTTTTCTGTCATGCAATGTTCCCTTCAATCTGTAATGTCAGAGCCTCTAACCGAGGGATTTCATATTGATTATCCCATGAAAACTCCCCATAATTCAGTCTGGATAATCGGTTCTTGCAATGGGCTGGTTTGCATTGCCATTGAAGAGAAATATCTGTTTATATGGAACCCCACCACTGGAAAATTCAAGAAAGTGCCTGATCCTAGGGTTAAGTTGAAGCCCGGGTTCTATTTCATGTATGGATTTGGGTATGATGAGTTGAATGATGATTATAAGGTGGTTGGGGTTTTCTGTATCTTTCACACCACTAACTCATGCGAGACTGAGGTTATGGTGTATAGTATGAAAGGCGATTCTTGGAGGAAGATTGAGGATTTGAAGGGTGGGTTTTTATTGAATGAAGCAGGTAAATTTGCCAATGGCAAG